TACAAGCAATTTATCACATTTTCCAATCTTATTCATATTAGAAGCTATCAAAGTTACCTAAGACGTTTTAATAGTTCATAAGTGACGCCATAACAAATGTACATTGTTTAAATATTCCATTCTTGAACCTAGAACATGTACTTCATTATTAAAAGTTCCTATGAAAAAAAAAAAGATTCGCGATAGAAAGAAAAAATTATTTGAATACTTTGATGAAAATACCACGTTTTGATTGATTGATTGAAAAAAATGACATTTCTTCTTAAGTCATTTATGTTTGAGGCCTAGGATGTAACTACTAATAATTATACTATTTTAAATCAATAATATTTATTTGACATGGTTTACAAAGTTTATTATTATTTCATCATCATTTTGAAGATGATATGTTTTTGTTTTATTCTATGTCAAGGTCATTTTTAAACGATTACTCTATTGGTTCAAGGTGATCAACATTGACACATTATTCAGAACATACCTTACACATCTTGGATGCTCTTTGCAACTACTGCCGGTCCCAAGGCCAGATAAAGGAGGAAAGTTAGGCATGTAGAGTTGGTGACTCCACATCCTGTAGAAAACTAACTCACTAAAAAAAGAAAAACGCTAACCAGAAGAAATAAACAAAGGAGAAGAGGAAGACCCAAGATATACATTACACCGAGGAATGGAGTTAGATATGGAAAAGATTAAGCAAAAATTGGACAGAACTGGAAAGGCAATCCTACGACAGAGTAGGCTGGAAGATACTAATCAACGACCTATACTCCATTCGGAGTAATAAGCGCAAGTAAGTAAGTAAGATTTCTATGCATTTTTTTCTAAGTAGCTAATTTACTTAACATATATTTAGAAGAAGCATATTATGTCATCACTTTCACAGTAACAAGAGACATACAGTTACACATAACCGACATGCAAGAATTGATCTTGATACATTCATGAATCTTGGAAATGATTGAAGGCAATTGTCTGAAATTCAATGACACGTAATCGTTTTTTATTAGTAATCTCAAAATTTGATTTTTCAAGCATTTATTCCTCTAGATCTCACGTAAATTTTAATGCTTATCAAAACGTCTGTTTTGTTACAACAGAACACTGATGTAATGAGTTCATTTCTTTCTCTCTCTCTCTCTCTCTATCTCTTTCGATAAACCTCCAAGATCAATTATTTTTAATAATTATACACGTCTAATATCTTTTTTTAACTTGTATACGTTCTAACTGAAACAACTATCAACACGTTCACAAAAAAAACCCAATCAAATCCAGGTTCCTAGAGTTATCCTCAATTACTTTAATCAATATGATAAAGAACGGGATTGACCAAAGAATGCTGAAATCATGCCAGAGAAAATGAGTGAAAGGTACAATAGAGTACCAATAAAAGTAAGAAACAAAATGGCGACTGCGCAAGTCCACAAGAGCGCATTACAAAATGTACGCATACACACACACAAACAAAACAAAACGTTCAGTTCAATGTTCACTGATACAATTAGTCAAAAAAAATTCATCAATGTCGCAAAATTTCATATTTGAAATATCAAACCATTCGATAGATTACACAATAAAATCTACTTACTTCAATTATCAACCCATGAATTATCGATTATCTTTTCTGTTTCTTTTTTCATAAATGTTAGATTTCAACAAAACCAAATTCTATCATCATCAATGAATCAATCAAAGTAAAGAAAGACAATGAAATGTTTTACTTATCACACTTCATACAATCCATTAATGGTTAATAAGCTCATACTAGAAATCGATTGCTAATAATCAATAAGGTGGTACTAGGATTATCAAAATTTTTCTGTATATATATATATATATATATATATATATATATATATATATATATATATATATATATAAATACTTAAGAATGTATTACGTAGTAATAGAAATCAACCTGAGTGTTCCATCGTTTGTTAGAGTTTATCATTTAAATGTCATTGCATTCTTGATTTGAAATTCCATACTGACACTTGACGCAAGTACTGCTGATGATTGTTTCATATTATGTCAATAGAATATTATCTATTCGATTATTGAATTTTGAATAGAATTTAGGCGCGCATTTTGAATTGTACCATTTGAATGTAACACTAAGTTTTTGTAAATCACAGTCAAATATAAAAAAAAGGGTTCCGATCTCGAGCAAAAAGAAAGATCAATTGTAATCATGATGATCAAGACTACAAATTATTATTATTGAGCTTTTAAAAGTATTTTGGTGTGATGTAACTACAGTGATACGCCTGAGTGAATGAAAATCGAAATAGTGACCCTCAGTATTATGTGATGGATAACTGCATTTACCTACATACTAACCTTGCTTACTTTCGCCTGCTACACTCAATAGAGCATTTTCCAACCTAATCTGTCCTGCGCATCCCATCTTTCCTAGTTCTGTCCAACTGTTGTGCATTCTTCTCATGTCTATCTCCATTTTTTCGGCGTAATGTGTTCTTTGGTCTTCCTCTTTTCCTTTAACCTTGAGGATTCCAAGTGAGAGCTTGTCTTGTAATGCAGTTTGATGCTTTCCTCAATGTATGTTCTATCCACTTCCAGCGCATCTTCCTGAATTGTTCCTCCCTTCTAACCCACAGGGCAGAGTTTAAATGGTTTAAATTATTTTTCCTCGTCAGCTTTTTTTCAAGCAAGTTAGTTTTCTACGGGATGGAGTCACCAACCCCCTACCCAAGCCTCCTCTTCTATCCTAGCTTTGGACTAGCAATGGCCCCAAAGGGGCTCCAGGCACAGTTAAACCATCACAGATAATCAATTAGAAATAAGGTCATCTGTAGAGACAATGAAAAACTTGCTCTCAATTCTTAGTAGAATCTGAGAAGTGATGAAACTTTCACAAATAAATCAACTAGTTCAGAGAATATAAAACCATGAAAAATATCACACTTTAGTGTATCATGTAGATTGACAGATATTGTCAAAATATTTATGCATTAAATTTCAGTATAACATTTTTTACAAACTTTCATAACTGTCAATCATTTGAAAAGGCTGAAGCATGAATTTACGATATTTAATAACTTGATCAAGTGTTGTGTTCAACAAATTTCAACTGGTATTGAGATGATAAAGAAAATTTGTTTAGCTCAGGTGGATGATTGTGATGAAGTTTCGTTCGACCTGGTTGTGTACCTTTCATTGTTCTTCTTCTGCTGAACAACATCATCACCAGTACAAACTTCAGATAAAAGAAATGACCTATTCGAATATTTACACGTACGACTCGTG